TCTTAATCATTTCCGTTGTTATTACAATTTCGTCCATTTCCCTATTATGGTCATTGTTCTGTTTTGATTTTGCCACCTTTTCTAGTTCTTGCAGTTCCAGTTTTGAAAACACTTTACTCCAGATGATAAACTTTCTCTGGCCCATTAATTGTTGTTCAGTTATGTCACTGTTTGGGTATTTCCTTTTCCAAATTTCCATCATTCTTCTTTGAAAACCACAGACTGATGGGTTTGCCACATAATAACATTTCATAATTTCTTAATTTTTGGCGAGAGTCGAAGTGTTGTGTTTATGTGTTGCTCTCTACATAAATTCTAAAGTAAATTTTTTGATAGGTCAGAGCATATATCTGGTCAAGTTTAAAATGTCTATGAGACATTTTTAGTCCACATTACTTCTCCAAGGGAATGAAAAGGGCTACCGTTGATTTCCAGTTTTGGAAATTGGTGGGACAGCCTGGTCTCATTTTAATGAAGGTCTGTCTTTGTTAATATTTTTCACTGTGTTTTTCCGCCTTTTTAAATGTTTCTTCGCGTCCTCAGGCCAAAGCCCAGGACGTTCATTTTCTGATAGGTTGTCAGGCTATTCTTAGTTTTATGCTACCTCACACATTAAGAAAGTCCTCTCAAGTGTGCCAGGTTGCCTCTGTACATATATTCTAAATTGCCCTCATCCTTTACTAGGTTTTTTTTTCTATCCTTGAAGAGTTCCTTAATCAGAAAATGGGTGGATGGGTTATGGATCATTGGGGATCTATATGGAAGAAAGCTACAGAATGAAAAAGTGCATCCAATTGCTTTTCTAATACATATAGGTGAGAAGTATTCTCCATTATTCTAAATGATTTTGGGATGGTTAAACTATTTGTGTCCAATTTTTAATGAAACACTGTTTTCTATTCTGGAGGATGGCTTTTTCAAAAGGTCTGTTCATAACATATGATCTTCTTTATCAGGTACACCTATGACCAACGCTACAGAAAGGCCCTTGAAATTTACCTCACACTGAGACATAAAGATGTTTTCCAGCTGATCCACAAACACAATCTTTTCAGCTCCATCAGAGACAAAATTGTTCTGCTAATGGAGTTTGATTCAGAGGTATGATGGCTTTCAAGTGGATTTTTAACACTTTTTCGTCTGTAAGAATTTTAGCAGAGAGAAAAATATAATTTAAGCAGCTCAACTTTATATTTTTGGTAGCTTCTTCAGCATGAAAGTTTGGAGAACCAAATTGTTGCACTAGTTATAGTTATAAGATATTTTTATAATGACTTTCAGCAGAGGGACATAAAAATTTATGAAAATTATGATTGGTCATATAACACTGGAGAAATAACTTCTATTATGTTTAAGTTATATCAGTAAATCTTCATGTAAGTGTCTTCTGTTTTAAAAAAGCAAGATATGAAAAATAAAGAATCCAGCTATAAGTTACTTCAAACTGATAGCTAAAAAAACCCAGAAACAAATATGAAGCATGATAAGCCAAAGTACCAGTTAAAGGAGGAATGCCATTTTAATATAACGTGCACCATCCATGCACTGTAGTTATTCTTCCCATGTTCCCTCTTTGCTATTGGCTAATTTATGTATGAGAAGCTCCATGTGCATGAATGTGCATTAAAGGAAGTAAAGATAATATGCCATGTAAAACCGCCAGCTAGCCAAATCTCATAATTTACTGGTTCTCAACCTTGAGTTCCCAAAAGCCTTCACCACTAGCTGGGCTGGCCAGGATTCTTGGGACGTGTAGTCGAAAAACAGCTGGGGACTGAGGTTGGGAACCACTGTCATAGTGTGTGGGAAAATTCTGAGTAGGAAAATATTGGGTTCTGTTTTTGCTTCTGCAGCCAGTTACTGCTTCACAAGTTGTAGTCCTGTTGTAATTACCATTTTGGGGATGCTTGTCTCGATACACATGGTGTAGTATTCTCTGCTTTACCCATATTTCTCACTGCAATGTAATGAGTGAGGCAAGAAGTTAGCCTTCTCCTTAGGGGAAGTATCATCTGAATGGGCTTGAAATCTACATGCAGAAGTATGTCCATCTCTTTCAGTGCAGGTTACACAGGCAGAAGTGTTTTCATAGCTTTCATCTTTCAGAGTTGCTCTAGCATAGGAGGACCTGTGAACTGTGCCTGTATAGGTAAAGACTATGGACCAGCACATTCTCCCATTGTCAGCTAAATAGCATAGGCGGTATTTTGCACTGACAGTGGCCTATTTGTCTTAGCTGGCAAAAGAAACCCCACATGTGCTGTGGATTGCAACCGTGGTGAATACAACACAACTAGCAGCAGCTCTTTATCCCACCAACACTGGTTGCTTTCTTTTTTCTGAATTTTTACTGACTTACATTGCAGTGGCTCTTCCCCACCAGACTGAGAGTTCAGTCAAAATGCGTAAACCCATGTAACTGCATAAAAAATTCACAGACCTGTTCTTTTTCAGTTTGTTTATTTGTTTGTTGTTTGTTTTGTTTTAGAAAGCAGTGGAGATGCTTTTGGACAATGAAGATAAAATCTCAGTGAGTGTAACTGTTTTATTAGATTGTTGTTGAAGATGGGTTGTTTTTTCTTACCCCTCCTAAGTAGCATGAGCAAAAAAATTGACCATGGAAACAGTTTAGTCTTAACCTCTTAATTACTTTGTTTGTTTGTTTGTTTTAGATTGATAAAGTTGTGGAAGAATTAGATGAAAGGCCTGAACTGCAGCATGTGGTAAGTTTGATGGCTTGATTGGTGTGAGGGGGTTTGCTGATCCCCAAAAGGAATTTTCATAGTGCCACCTGACAAATATCCTTACTTGACAGCAGCTAAAAGTCTCTGCCTTCAACAGCAAATTTTGTATTGTATAGAATATTTCCGCAATAGAAACTTAACACACTGGTTAAATCATTACCTACTTCAGAAGAAAATCACAATGAGAGCAATGATCTTTGCCACTACTAAAGCTTTTAAGATCAGATTGCCCTCTAAGTAGCTGTGGCACCATCTGTGCTCACAAGAGAGGTCCCATTCATCCCATTATGTATCTCCAAATGTTTCAGGCCTACCATAGCTTATTTATTTTATTTTATTAGTTTGTTTTATTTATATGCCATCTTTCTCCAGATAAGGGGACTCAAGGATCAGAATTAAAAACACCTTAGAGCACCTTCCCCGAACTGGTATACAGGACTAAAAAGCCCAGGATCCATGTCCGTGGGCCATGCTGGCTGCAGCTGATGGGAATTGTAGTTCAAAACATGGGGGAGTTTGCCAGGTTGGGGAACTCTATCTTAGAGACTACTTTCTTCTACAGTTATTGTATGGTCACCTCTGACTCTCTTTCCAGGGCATACCTGTGAGTCAGCAACAAATGTCAAGAAACCAGAGTTGCAAAGTGAAATACTCCTGACAGCTTCCCCCCTTTCCCTCCTTCACTTTGAGATACTCTCCCCTTGGAGCATCAGTTACATCCACGCCTGAACACCTTTCAAGAATAAGATCTAAGTGTCTGGGCTACCTTGTGTGATTTAGGCCTAACCACTAAACAAGATGTTGCCTCAGCAAATGTGTCACCCTAGCCTTTGGTGGCGATGTCCAAGGAGAAGAACAGCCCAGTTGAGAAAAGACAGGCACTGCTTTCTCACCCCTGATGTTTCTCAGAAATTCTTCCCTCCTATATTTGCTTCATTAATCACATGAAGAGGATGTGGGGTTGAGAAGGCTGTATTACCCCTGAAGCCTCTAATTTGGTCCTAAATTAACACACCTGTGTGTATGGGTTGTAATAACTATCTTCACATGATATTTATAATTACATAATTTGAAAGCTGGCCAGTTCTGTTAAAATTAGTCTAGAATGCATGTGATTTTGTTGTGATTCTGTTCTTCTGATTTTTGCAGTACTTGCATAAACTGTTCAAGAGAGACCATCACAAAGGACAGAAGCATCATGAGAAACAAATCAGCCTCTATGCTGAATATGACCGGCCAAATCTGCTTCCATTTCTAAGAGACAGCACTCATTGCCCTTTAGAAAAGGTGGGGAAAGTATCTTAAAATATCACCTTGGCTTGGGATAGGTTGTTCTTTATGTAGCTTCTGTGGAGACCTCAAGAGCTTGCATACAACTTTGTGACATTTTGATCATAATAAAAATGTTAGCATCCGTGGCTTTTAAATTTGTGACAAGTTTCAACTTGTACTGGCTACTCTCTGAGTAATGCTACCCTCTTCTGGAAAATGTGAGAACTTCACTGGTTTACTGCAGTCTCTTCTATGATTCCTGGACTCCGAAGAATGCTGCAGACATGTTTCCCCCCCTCATTTTACAGCAGTGTTTATCAAATATAATTAATAGCCTAGTTTTCATCAAGGAGGTATTTTCCATATTTTAAAAAGATATAATTACAATGAGGATGAGGGTGATGATGATGTGCCATCAAGTTAATTCTAACAAGACAAAGCTTTCCAGAGCTTTCCAGGTAGAGAGCACTCAGAAATGATTTACCATTCTTGTCTTCTGGAGTTAGCCCAGGACTGTGCAGTTTGCCAAAGGCTACACAGGCTGGCTCTTCTGGGATGCACAGTGGGGGAACTGATACCCTTACCTCTGGCTCAGCAGCCCAGTACCTAATTCATGGAGCTATCCAGCCAGCTATAGTTGACAATAGCAGAACAGGATAAAACACAAGAAAAAAAAAGCTGATGTCACTTTTGGACAATATCTCTCACTTAAAACTAAAACCAAAAATCCTGTGCAAATAATCCTGGTGTCAAAAATGCTTCTGATCTAGAGCTGTCTCTTAGTTTAAGAGTGTTAAGATTAATTCAGACATGCAGAAAGAACACCAGGGTTAGTTTTTCATGATTGTATCACTGCAGAGTGCAGATGTGGGTGTGTGTGTGTGAGATTTTGTACGTGTATGCTTTTCTGGGTAAAAATTTCCTGCACATGGAAATTAGTATGCAGATTATTAGTCACGAATAATAGTTTTAGCCTTTGATTCTCCCTCCCATGCAAAAATGCTCAGTAAAAATAGTTTAGAGGCTTTTTTAAAATGGGAGAATTTTTGGACATCCAGTCCTCTCCCAGGCAGAAATTTGTACCTCATGTATATTCTAGTTGGTTCCCACAGGGGCATTCCTGGACATGTAGTTTTCACTATCCAAATACATTTCCTTCTGGTCAAACATTAGGGTTAATAATAACTCTTCATTGCATATCATTACTGCACTTCCTTGTGGCAAGGTGTACAAGTTAGAAAGACAATACCTGAAGAAAAAACCCAGTTTTGTAGTTAGTATGTGCTCATCTGAGATCTTGGGATAATCCTTACTCTCTGCTAAAGATACTTGCATGATGCACATATTTAACACATTAACAATACAATCCTATTCATGCTCACTGCAAAGTACCAAGATGGGATAGAGTCCTAAGTGTACTCAAGTGATACGCAAACACTGTATGTGAACAATTTAGTATAAATTTTTAGTTCTGGATTTGTTTAATCGTGTGCGTTTTTGCTACAAAACCAATTCATCTTAATGAGGAGTTTACTAGGAACTTTTATGATATACTTTATTTTAGGCTGTAGTTCTATACCCATGTAACAGGAAGTCAATGCAATTAAATGTAGTAACACTGTTCAGTAAACATACATGGGCTTGTGTTGTTCATCTCATTCCTCAGGAAGAGTTTGGTTTATGATAATCACTGTCACACTAACCTCCTTTTGTTGAAATTTAAGGCTCTTGAAATCTGCCAGCAAAGAAACTTTGTAGAAGAAACAGTTTATCTTCTGAGTAAGTAACTACATTTTGATGTCTTCTTGTTTTAATCTGGCTTTATTAAAAGCTGTGGTGCTGAACATGATAATTCTGGAACTGAACTTTTATATCCTTCTTGATCCTAAACGTCAAGTAAGATTTTTAAAAAAATATAAAACAGTCCTAAGTCTTATACTGATGTACACTTCAACCTCTGACTGTCAACCCAGTTTAAAAGTTCAGTGCTGTTTTTGCAGAATGCTGAAGTTCAAGCTAAATTAAATCTGTGGAGTTGAAAGGAGCTCAGTGTTATAAGCAGGCACAACACTGGGTCCTTTTAAGGAAAAAGGCAGGGTAAAAGTACTTTAAACAAATAAGTAAAACCATATTTCTGCATGCCTTGCATGCCCCTTCTGCTGTGAAAGATAAAAAGGTGTTTCTGAGGAGGGTTTTTCCAGGATCCTGTTTTTATATGTGGTTCTGTGTAAAATTTTTCACAGTAATCGTAAACCTACGTGCACATCCTGTTCCTGAGTTACTGTTATCCTGCTTTTGAGTAGTCTTAACATAATCCACTGGCCAAAATCCTGTTGCTTAGTGTAGGCCATATCATAACTTGCAGTCTGGTCCTTTCTGATTGTGATTTTTGGGGGCTTGGTGTGCAGGTGTGTGCCCTAAGACACTTTGGGGATTCTTTATTTACCAGGAAGGAATGGACCGAAAGTTCCAATTTTACTTACATTAAGCCACAGGATTTCAGCCTGTGTGTTTTCTCACTGGGACTTACTTTCATAGAGGAACATAGCAACCTTAGTCTTTCACTCACCCCTCCCCAGCATCCTTAAAATTCTTCACTGATGGCTTTTGCCTAAAGCAAGGGTACACTCCATGACAGAATCTTTGGATGAAATGTTCCCCTTGTTTGCGTCACTAGCTACCTCCCACTGAAATCAACAGTGGCCCACAGTTGTAGGCCTAAATCATTATGAAGCACCACCTGGCTTGTAACACTTTCACTTTATTCCGACTGTTGGTACGTATTCAAGCTGCATTCACTTCATTCACTACATCCCTTTAATTTGGACAAACATCTCATGTTGTTTAGAAGGCAAGAGAACATGTTTTGAGGATGAGTTGTTTTCCTGCATCTGGAGCAAAGGACTGGCTTCTTTTCATTTGTTCACTTTTCCTTTCCAGGCAGAATGGGCAATAGTCGAAGTGCCCTGAAGATGATCATGGAAGAATTAAATGATGTTGACAAAGCAATTGAATTTGCTAAGGAGCAGGATGATGCAGAACTTTGGGAAGACCTCATTTTATATTCCATTGACAAACCACGTAAGCAAATGTGCCTGTGATTTATATGTAGTGGTTCAAATCTGTCATCATCACCACACTTACAAACACCCCTCCTGCCTTCCAGAAACCTTTCTCGGAGAATTTCCTAGCCCAATGACAGATTCCTCTCGCTCTCTCTCTATCTCTCTCTCTCTCTTTGTGTGTGTGTGTGTAATTGAGTGTGTCTGAACAAGTGTGTGAAAGGAGGAGGGGCATTTCAGCTAAATATGAGAAAAAAAAATTCATTTATGTCTCTGAAATGCGGAAACAATATAGCCAGATTGATTTGGGAGGAATGCCAGCTTGCACAGTACAAGACATTGAACTGGAGGGTAATTACTGTCATTGAATTGCAATATAATTATTGAAGTACTAGAGCATACGTAGAGGAAAAAATAACTTCTCTGTATCTGACTGTGTAAAACATAAGCATCATTATCGCACAGCTGCTGGGACACATGCCTGGGAAGTTCAGTAAAATGCTAGCATGTCTTTCTGTCTCTGGATGTTCTGAGTGATCTTTGAGCTTCTTGGATAGAAAATTTTACATCATGCGGCGATGGGCTGGGCAGAACTTTCTGCATGAACTTAAATTAGGAAACTAATGCTTCATGGAGATGTCTTCAACTTTAACATGCCAGCATACCTATTTATTTCTCACTTATCTTTAGTGTAATGTGTACCTCTTTCTAGACAGAGTCTGCCTTAGATATCACTTCAGCATTCCATGCTGGGAGCATGTCTTTGTCTATCATTTGCTAGAGGACATGAGCAGGAGACTTCCATGCTTGTGGACTTCCCCTAGATGTCCAGCTGGCAGCTGTGGAAACAGAACACAGAACTGTTTTGCCTGTTGTCTTTGATGCCCTCGTTGTGTTTCTGCAGCTTTTATCACTGGCTTGTTGAACAATATCGGGACTCACGTTGATCCTATCCTCCTTATCCACCGCATTAAGGAAGGCATGGAGATTCCCAATTTGAGAGATTCCTTGGTGAAAATTCTCCAGGATTATAATTTACAGGTAAACCTTATTGAATTTTCTACTATGCTGGTTCTTTTCCTCACAGTATCAGAATTGCACCTCGCGTGCCTTGAGGAATTAGGAAGAATACAGTCATATAAAAAAGTCAGCAACTTCATGCCACAATGAGCGTATCTGTTGCAATACAGAATGTGTCTTAATACTGGCATTCTATCTCCCCCCTCCCCCCCCCCGATGCACATACACCATTTCCTCATATTTTTGATTCTTGTGTGAGCCACTGATGGATGTTTATAGTGCCTCTTCTGCTTCCTTTGCTTTCAGTTCTTGGGCATGGGATGTGTCATTCCTTACTAGTTTCCAGGAATATGCTTTAGTAGAGCACATCTGAGTTGCAAATACTTTTAAAAAATACTTTGCAAAGAGGTGTATCTTCTATGGGAGTGGGAAACAGTGACCCTCCAGATACTGTCAGACTGTGGCTGTCATCATGCTTCGCCATTGGCTGTGTTAGCCAGGCCTAATGGACATTGGAATTGAACAAAATCTGGAGGGCTACACTTCACCAGCCCCTGCTTTACTACCTTTAATGAAATCACTTGTGTCACTGACCAGATTTTTCCAGGTGCTTTGCAGGCTACTTGGTGTGTTGCATTATGTGTAGGTCAGATTATCTCCCTCTCTTTAGGCTAGTATTACGCTGCCTCAGAGCAGCTCTCCAGGATTTCAAACTGCATCAGGATCCCTGTTAAACTGGAGATTTCAGGAACAGAACCTGGGATCTGTACCCAGTGGCAGGGTGGATTTCATTTAAATCACTATTTAAATTTTAAAAACCTGATTTTTTTTTACAATTTAAATTTTTAAAAAAACTTACATCATTATTTCAATTGTAATTTTAATCAGTTTGATCTAGAAAAGTAATTTATTTTTATCCATCATGCCAAGTGGGGAACCAGGGTCCATTCTGACTCATAGCACCCACAGCTGCAGAATACAGGTGTTTGCAAATGTTGTTGCTCATAGCTGATTATGCTATTCCTGTGTATATCTTGTTCTTCTGATTCTACCCTTCTTCTTTGTGGCCTCTGTGAATGCGCTTATTCTACCCTTCTTCTTTGTGCCTCTGTGAATGCACACAATTGGGTTGAGACTGTGCCTGTGCAGGTCTTCTCAGAATATTCTAGAGCTTTTAAAAAGTAACAACGTTGTGAGTTGCCTCTATAGCGCATGATCTGCCCGCCTCAGTCCTCAGTTTCATTTTACCGCCTTGGTGTCAGGAACTTCTCGGTTAGAGCTATTCATACACTTCTTTTTTCTCTATTTTGGATTTGACTTGGACCGTTTTTGACTATGATTATCATCTTGCCCCTCTTGCTCTGTGATTTACTGATCCTTTCATTACGACCCGGACTGTTTTTTCACTTCCTGTGCTTTGCTTGATTGATTGCTGCCTCGTTCGACCCACAGACCATTTTCCTCGACTATTCTTCCTCTTGCTGGACTTGGCTTATTTCTCTGACTTGATTCCCGATCCCTTTGAATTTGGAATTCTTGTTACCAACTCAGACTGTTTAATCAGACTGCCTACTGCTGCTGTGAGTTCTGATCTTATCTCTATCCCTACTGCTTACATCCCCATCAGGACCCTTTAGCCAGTGCGTGTCGTGTTCCAGAAAACTTCCCTTCTCAGATGGTCACGACTGCTGCCTTTTTTGCCTATTCAGAGAACTTTGATAAAAATTCAAGAAGAGAAAGCCAATGTCATTCTCATTGCACCATACTGGGTTTGTCAGCCATGGTTCACGACTCTCAAAACGATGGCCTTGGACATTCTCAGATTGCCAGTTTTTCTCACCTTCTCACTCAGGACTCAGGCAGCATCCATCACCCAGATCTACACTCCCTGCATCTAACAGCATGAAAACTTCTTCCTTAATTCAAGAAGTCTTGGATGAAGCAAGGAAACCTTCCACCGCTGTCCTCTATACTTACAAATGGAACAATTTCCTGAAATTTGCCCATTCCAAAGGGCTACAACCAATACCTGTGTCACTCAGTACTCTCCTTATCTATTTACGTTACTTGTTTGATCTAGGACTAGCTCTCTCCATCTTGAAAGTCTACATTTCAGCAATAGTCTCCTTTCAACCCTGTGATTTGGACTCTGCTCATTTGTTTTCTCATCCCACACTTAAATCCTTTTTGAAAGGTCTTTGCAATATTTGGCCACCAGTCAGACCTCACTTGCCACAGTGGTCTCTCCAATTGGTGTTACACGCTTTCACATGTCCCCCCTTTGAACCCATGGTCACCTCTGATGTTCGGTTATTGTCATTTAAGACCTTGTTCCTGGTGTCCATCACCTCAGCAAGAAGAGCAAGTGAATTGGCTGCCCTTAGGGCGGATGTTCCCTATCTGCAGTTCTTCCCTGACAAAGTCCTCCTATACCTGGATGTTTCTTTTTTGCCCAAAGTGATTTCACATTTTCACTTAAATCAACCTCTGACATTGCCAACTCTGTTTCCAAAACCCTCTTCAGAAGAGCAGATGCTCCACTCCCTTGATGTACACCGCGCTCTAGCATATTATACAACTAGGACTAAAGACTTTTGAACCTCTCCTAAATTATTTCTGTGTTTCCATGGACCACACAAGAGCTCTCCGGCTTCTCTATCAACAATTTCTAGATGGATTGTGTCTACTATAACTCTGGCATATGATCTCTCTGGTAAAACTCCTCCAGAAGGTTTGAGAGCCTATTCCACTAGAGCTATGGCAACTTCAACAGCACTGTTACGTGGTATTGATGTACCCGACATCTGCAGAGCGGCTACATGGCCTACTGCATCCACCTTCATGACGCATTACAGACTTGACCTGAGAGCTAAAAAGGAGGCCAGTTTTGGAAGGGCAGTGTTGACTTCTATTCTGCAGTGACCACCCTCCATCTGGTAAGTCAGCTTGCTAGTCACCCAATCGCGTGCATTCACAGAGGCCACAAAGAAGAAAGAGAGGTTACTTACCTGTAACCATGGTTCTTCAAGTGGACCTCTGTGAAATCACACATCCCGCCTGACCTCCCCACTGTCCTTCACTGAATTCTGGCTTAATAGTCATGACACTACAGTGGCGGATAAATGGAACTGAGGGTTGAGGCGGGTGGAGCATGCGCTATAGGGGCAACTCACAACTTTGTTACTTTTTAAAAGCTCTAGAATATTCTGAGAAGACCTGCACAGCCACAGTCTCAACCCAATTGTGTGAATTCACAGAGGTCCACTTGAAGAACCATGGTTACAGGTAAGTAACCTCTCTTTCTCCTCCGCCTTTACTGTCCTGCCACCTCTTAAAAGGATGCTTTCAGTTCCTTCTTGTTATCAGCACAGGAAGCTTTCAGCATCAGAAATTGGTTGGACAAAGAAGTCTTGCACTCTTCTTTATTTCAGATTCCTATTTCTTGGTGTAAAAAAGTCTAGTGAGATTTTCTAGCTGCCAACTATCTTTTATTCTGTTCAGTACTTGCTTTTCTTTGCATTCTGGGCCGGTAGCATGACTCTCACCGTGAAGAGTGAGGTTCGCAGCTTGGGGATACATCTGGACCCGGCGCTCACCATGGAAACCCAGGTGGCATCAGTGGTCCGTTCTGCCTATTTCCATCTGTGGCGGATTGCCCATCTGCATCCCTGTCTTGATGGCAGGTCCCTCACCACTCTTGTCCATGCGCTTGTAATCTCGAGATTAGACCACTGTAATGCACTCTACACTGGACTACCTTTGAGATTGATGCGGAAGCTTCGGATGGTGCAGAATGCGGTGGCCAGACTTCTCAGTGGGATGAGAAGATATCAGCATATTTCTCCCACTCTGGCTGCCTTGCATTGGCTGCCCATTCGTTTCTGCATTGATATCAAAGTGTTAATGTTGACATATAAAGCCCTAAACGGTTTAGGACCTGGATACCTAGCGGAATGCCTTCTCCCACCTAGATCTACTCGAATCACTCAATACAGCCAGGAAAGGTGGCCGAGGGGCCTAACGCCGAGGGAGGCCTGGAAAGAAAGAACCAAAAAATCGGCCTTCTCGGCAGTGGCCCCTCAACTCTGGAATAAACGTCCATTGGAAATTTGCCTGGCACCCTCGCTGGGTGTTTTTAAGAGCCAACTTGAGATCTGGCTCTTTAGGCAGGCCTTCCCTTCAGTCATTACTTGATTTTCTTTTCTATCATAACTTCCATTTTGCTTTTCCAACTTGAATGCTACTAATATTATTGATTTGAATTGTTGTTTAATTGTTTATATGTTGTTTTTCATGTTTTTACTGTAAGCTGCCCAGAGTAGATGTAGTCTAGATGGGGGGGGGATACAAATCTAATAAATAAATAAATAAAAATAAGAACACGGCCTGTAGCAGGGAACTGTGTAGTTGTAATTTGCAAGGATTTGATGAAACCTTATGTATTTCTGATGCTACTGATGGCATGTGTGAATCACACTTGGATTACCACATTTCACTTAGTTGTGGACCTGTTCCTCCAATTTATTTTTTCAGCTATCCTTTGGGATATGTTTCCATTTCCTATCATCCTCTGTTTTTCAGAAGCTCCTGTTGCAAACGTGGAAGAGAAAGAGGTGCCTACCTCTAAGATTCTCCAGATAAATTTAGCTACTATCCTGCAGTACTTCTGTGCTGTAATCAAAGTGGTAGGAAGTATGTTTAAATGGATGGATATTTTAACTCGAGTGTACATGTGAAATGCTGATTTTTATATATAAGATTGCTCTGAGGATTAAATTTAGGGATGACAGTTAAATGTGTGATCTTCACTTTAAAAAAAGGAAACTGTTCTGAAGATTTGGAGTGAATTCTAAGCAAAGAATATTTTTGCAAAATTTCTGCTCTAAGTTCTGCTTTTGCTCTCTTGAGTGTCTAATGTGGATCTTCTAAATGTTGCAAAGGACTCTTGGACACATTCTAGAGCATTCAGAGCATTGGCCAGTCCCACTGAACCTCCCTGTTCATGTATGTGAATAGAATGT